AGCAGAGTACCAGCCTCAGCATGAAGGCAACCCACTGAGCATTGCCCCAGTGAGAAGTGAAGGGCCAGTGGGGAGAACAAAGAGTTTAGGGAAGGGAGCCTGGTCAGAAACCCACTCCTGAGAAGAGAGGTGGCATACCACAGGGCTGCAGCAGTGCCCATGATGGCTGCTCCTGCCAAGGGCCACATTAATAGCGGCCGTGCAGGCTCCATGGTAGGCAGCAAGAGCCCACAGTCCCAGCTCCCTTCCCAAGAGCCTGGAAGGAGTCATTGTGGGCCCACACCCCAGGTCTTCTTCTCTAGCTACAGGACCAAAGAGTGCCCTGCTGTGCTCAGGACACCCCTCTTATATCTCCTTACCCATCTTGCCTGCAGGGCATCGGGTACCATGTCTCTTAGTGGCCCCAAGCTGCTGGGAGAGAAGTCCCTGGGGAAAGGGGCTCTCAGGGCAAGACTGTAGACCCCTGGAAGGAGCATGCCCTGCAGCCAGTGTGTGGACCAGGCCATGGGAAAGACTTTGCACCTGGGAGTTGAGACCTTCCCCCACACAGTTAGCTGTCCTGCTCCAAGGGAGGCAGTAGGGCAGTTTGTCCCACTGTAACGCTTGATTGCTCAGCAACGTGTGGTGCAGCCCTGGCCAGGCTGCTCTGCCCTGCGAGCTCTGCCCGTGGCACGGGGATAGCCGGCAGGTCCCACGCTCCAGCTCTGCCTGACGGCTGCAGCAAGCCCAGAGGGCAGATCTACCTCTCCGGCCAGGACCTGGCCCATGTGCAGGAAATACCTGGCAGGGAGAAATCACAACCTGCAGCACAGATGGGATAGATACTTCTGCAACAGCCACAGGCACTCATGCTACCTCCCCCCTAAAAGGGGATATGAGCCTCCTCTAGGAAGCAGCCGGGCAAACGGAGACCAAGACACCAATGTCCCCAAGCCCAGCTGCAGGACACACATGCAGCTCCCCAGTGCCTGCTGCTCACAGAGCATCCCTGCCACTGGAGAGTCACGGCACGGGGCCAGGCAGGAAGGCAGCCCTGCGAGAGAGCCCGGAACATCTCCTCTCCTCTCAGACGACAGCCTTGGGATGGACGGAGCTTATGGAAAACGGAGACACGTGGCAAAGGGAAGCAGACATCCAGGGTGCAAGCCTCCTTCGGCATGGGGCCAGTGACCACAGCCCCGGATGGCTCAGCTCTACCCGGAGGAAGCTGTAAGGAGAGAGAGAGCAGCAGGTTTTGAGCTGTTTGGCAGCTCTCAGTGCCAACCCTTCCCACGAAACAGTGAGGCAGGCCCTTACCAAAGGTGGGCAGTCGCTACTGGGACTCACCGCACGGGACGTGGCAGTCGCACTCGCAGACGTCGCAGCGCAGGAACCAGCGGGCCCAGCCCGAGCGCTTGGTGACACAGGCTGAGATCTTGATGCAGCCATGGTTGAGGAAGGCTCCGAGGTGGGCCTGGGTGCTGCAAGATGAGGAGCACCTCCCGGTAATATCCCGCTCACTGATCTCGATCCGACCTCGCAGGCAGATGCCTGCAAGAGCAGGGCCAGAGCATGTCACAGGGTGCCCACCACCTCCTGCGGCAGGCTGGGGTAAAGAGGGATCAGACACATGCCTGCAGCCCTCCCGCCTGCTCCCCATGCAGGCAGGGTGCCCCCTCGGGCTCAGCGTGACACCCAGTGGTACTCACGGAGGCAGGTGGGCTTGGGAGTCCAGCGGCCGTCAGACTGGCAGGGGGGGGG